AGGCCCTGGACCCTTGCCGCGCGCGCGCTCGGGCCGCGGGAAACGCTGGCAGGCGCGACACACACGTCGTTTGTGCTGGCAGGCGCGGTACTTAGAGGCCCTGGATCTTTGCCGCGCGCGCGCTCGGGCCGCGGGAAACGCTGGCAGACGCGACACACGTGTCTGCTGGCAGGCGCGGTACTTGGAGGCCCTGGACCTTTGCCGCGCGCGCGCTCGGGCCGCGGGAAACGCTGGCAGGCGCGACACATGCGTCGTTTGTGCTGGCAGGCGCGGTACTTAGAGGCCCTGGACCGTTGCCGCGCGCGCGCTCGGGCCGCGGGAAACGCTGACAGGCGCGACGCACGTGTCGTTTGTGCTGGCAGGCGCGGTACTTAGAGGCCCTGGACCCTTGCCGCGCGCGCGCTCGGGCCGCGGGAAACGCTGGCACACGTGTCGTTTGTGCTGGCAGGCGCGGTACTTAGAGGCCCTGGATCTTTGCCGCGCGCGCGCTCGGGCCGCGGGAAACGCTGGCAGACGCGACACACGTGTCGTTTCTGCTGGCAGGCGCGGTACTTGGAGGCCCTGGACCTTTGCCGCGCGCGGCAGGCGCGACACACGCGTCGTTTGTGCTGGCAGGCGCGGCACTTATATAGAGGCCCTGGATCTTTGCCGCGCGCGCGCTCGGGCCGCGGGAAACGCTGGCAGACGCGACACACGTGTCTGCTGGCAGGCGCGGTACTTGGAGGCCCTGGACCTTTGCCGCGCGCGCGCTCGGGCCGCGGGAAACGCTGGCAGACGCGACACACGTGTCGTTTCTGCTGGCAGGCGCGGTACTTGGAGGCCCTGGACCGTTGCCGCGCGCGCGCTCGGGCCGCGGGAAACGCTGACAGGCGCGACACACGTGTCGTTTGTGCTGGCAGGCGCGGTACTTAGAGGCCCTGGACCCTTGCCGCGCGCGCGCGCTCGGGCCGCGGGAAACGCTGGCAGGCGCGACACACGCGTCGTTTGTGCTGGCAGGCGCGGTGCTTAGAGGCCCTGGATCTTTGCCGCGCGCGCGCTCGGGCCGCGGGAAACGCTGGCAGACGCGACACACGTGTCTGCTGGCAGGCGCGGTACTTGGAGGCCCTGGACCTTTGCCGCGCACGCGCTCGGGCCGCGGGAAACGCTGGCAGGCGCGACACATGCGTCGTTTGTGCTGGCAGGCGCGGTACTTCGAGGCCCTGGACCGTTGCCGCGCGCGCGCTCGGGCCGCGGGAAACGCTGACAGGCGCGACACACGTCGTTTGTGCTGGCAGGCGCGGTACTGAGAGGCCCTGGACCCTTGCCGCGCGCGCGCTCGGGCCGCGGGAAACGCTGGCAGGCGCGACACACGCGTCGTTTGTGCTGGCAGGCGCGGTACTTAGAGGCCCTGGACCGTTGCCGCGCGCGCGCTCGGGCCGCGGGAAACGCTGGCAGACGCGACACACGTGTCGTTTCTGCTGGCAGGCGCGGTACTTGGAGGCCCTGGACCCTTGCCGCGCGCGCGCTCGGGCCGCGGGAAACGCTGGCACACGTGTCGTTTCTGCTGGCAGGCGCGGTACTTGGAGGCCCTGGACCTTTGCCGCGCGCGCGCTCGGGCCGCGGGAAACGCTGGCAGGCGCGACACATGCGTCGTTTCTGCTGGCAGGCGCGGTACTTAGAGGCCCTGGACCCTTGCCGCGCGCGCGCTCGGGCCGCGGGAAACGCTGGCAGGCGCGACACACGTGTCGTTTATGCTGGCAGGCGCGGTACTTAGAGGCCCTGGACCTTTGCCGCGCGCGCGCGCGCTCGGGCCGCGGGAAACGCTGGCAGGCGCGACACACGTGTCGTTTGTGCAGGCAGGCGCGGTACTTAGAGGGGTACTTGGAGGTCCTGGACCCTTGCCGCGCGCGCGCTCGGGCCGCGGGAAACGCTGACAGGCGCGACACACGTGTCGTTTGTGCTGGCAGGCGCGGTACTTAGAGGCCCTGGACCGTTGCCGCGCGCGCGCTCGGGCCGCGGGAAGCGCTGACAGGCGCGACACACGTGTCGTTTGTGCTGGCAGGCGCGGTACTTAGGGGCCCTGGACCTTTGCCGCGCGCGCGCTCGGGGGCTCGCGAAACGCTGGCAGGCGCGACACAGGTGTTGTTTGTGCTGGCAGGCGCGGCACTTAGGGGCCCTGGGCCGTTGCCGCGCGCGCGCTCTGCACCGACCCTCTAAGTAGTACGCCGGGGACATCCGGAGCTTCCGTGGCTGGAAAGTCGACTTTTCTAGTACAAACGTAGTACGCCGCGGACACGCGGAGCTTCCGTGGCTGGAAAGTCGACTTTTTGTAGTACAGACGTAGTACGCCGCGGACGCCCTGGGCGTCTGAAGACACCGCACATAGCATGGTAACGGACATCTGGGCGCCTGAAAAACACCGCAAATAGCATGGTAGCGGACATCTGGGCGCATGAAAACACCGCAAATAGCATGGTAACGGACATCTGGGCGCATGAAAACACCGCAACGCACAAATATC